ACCAAAGCCACATGAGAACTGAACGCTCCCCCTCAGTGATCCGAGACTTTTGTGGAAGCATGAACGCATTTCGGTGGGGGCCTGTGACACATCTGTAGGGGGAACGCTGCCCCTCTGTGGACAAAAAGGGTCTAGCAAACAGATGAAGGCGGACCTGGGTGTTTCTGCTGAGGGCTGAGATCTCTGAGAGGTCAAACAGGCCCCAGGATCCCCCACTGTCTGCTCAAACAGTGTGTTTTGGTGCCAAAATCCAGCTTCTCTTTCCAGTAAACTCCACCCGAAAGAGACAGCATGGCTTATGTACCCAATATATCTAATACCTGGACCCCAAATGCACATATTTGTAGTTTTAGTGGCCCTGAAAGCCACACTTATGTCCACAATTAGTAGAAGGACAAACTAAATGAGTGTAAAAGCTGAGGGGCACCACCCCAGAGACAAGTCTTTGGAGCCTTAAAGGTGCAATTAACCCTGTAATGCCAAACGTATCATATTTGATACATATTGTTTCTGAAATGTTTTGCGTCTGACACCTTTTGCATCATTTAATGGTAGAAACTTTGCTCAAAATCCTATTTTACACCATCAGATACACCTGATAACAGGGGGCAGAAGACTATACAAAAAATAATATTGACTTATCGCATAGTAATAAATTATTATTGTTAAAAATGTATTTCTGTTTTTTCTTTTTACATATTTTGTTAAAAGTCCAAATAAGGAATTCAAACAAAAAAAAAAGTAATTTTCTGTTTTGTTTTGTTCTTGGATCAGGCTTTAAAGCGTTAAGTGCTTTCTTTTCTAAAAGTCAAGGATACAAAAAATTGGATTACTCTTATGCTCGCCTGTTCTCTTATTCTGTCTGTCTTGTATCGTATCAGACTGTGAGTTTCGGAGCCATGTTCTTTCAGGCTCTCATGCGGTCTGCTTTGAAATAAACAGCATCGAGCCGGCCTCTGCTGGAGTAAAGTTCAGGTAGCTGTCAGATCGATGCTGCATTGGCAAATGAAGGTGAAGAAATTGAGAATGGAATTGATTCTTTTCAGCTGTCGGCATTCTCTGCTGGACGACGACCTTTAATACGTTTATTATCAGTCAGATAATGTAAATAATGGTCATAAAAGGCAGGAATTCACTCTCAGATAGATAGATAGATAGATAGATAGATAGATAGATAGATAGATAGA